GCGTCCCAGCTCACAGCAACCTCAAACTCTTAGACTTAGGCAATTCTCTTGCCTCAGCCTCCCAAGTAGCTAGGACTACAGGCACCCGCCACAATTCCTGGCTGTTTTTTGTTTGTAGTTGTCATTGTTTGGCAGGCACAGGCTGGATTCAAACCCACCAGCTCCAGTGTATGTGGCTGGTGCTCTAGCCACTGAGCTATAGACACCAAGCCAGCTTTGATGCCTTTTATAGACGTTTATTTGAATAGTTCACTTTTCCAGGGTGACCAAGGATGTGTTTTCACACACACATGAGCATGACTACAGTCTAAATTCCTAAGAGAAGCACAGCTTGGTGCTGATCAAGGGTTCCATCCTCTGGCATGCATTGACCTCCAGGCCTATAAATGAGCAAGTGGGGTCCTTGTCCAGTGAATGCCCTTCTCCTAGCTTCATGAGTGTAAGAACTGGTCTGAGAGCCTTTTCATATCAAGCCCAAGGTAGAGAACTTTCAGCTAAAAGGACCCTATGCCTCTTGGGGTTGTATTAGGAAATCCTTTTTTTTTTTTTTGAGACAGAGCCTCAAGCTGTCCCCCTGGGTAGAGTGCCGTGGCATCACAGCTCACAGCAACCTTCAACTCCTGGGCTCAAGTGAGTCTCCTGCCTCAGCCTCCCAAGTAGCTGGGACCACAGGTGCCTACCACAACGCCCGGCTATTTTTTGGTTGCAGCCATCATTGTTTGGCGGGCCTAGGCTGGATTTGAACCCGCCACCTTAGGTGTATGTGGCTGGTGCCTGAGCCACTTGAGCCACAGACGCGGCGCCTGTATTGGGAAATCTTTGATGTTCAATTTCTCAAAGATGCTCTCATACCAGGCCTCAGACACTTAGGTGGAAGAGGACAGGGACCCAACAGGCCCAGCCACCTCTAACGAGAGGGTTTGGGGACATTTAAATCTTCCCTACAGGACTCAGTGAAGAGAGAGGGTTCTGGGTGCCCAATTCTGCTGTGAAAGAGCTGAGAGGCTCAGGCACATTCCTTATCTCTACCAACCAGGGTTACTTTGAGGACTGATCAAATGCAAAAACTGTATAAAGTGCAGAGCATCCAGTAGCCCTGGACCAACAGTTGTCCTCCATGAGATTTGCAGAATAAAAGCAACACCCAGAAGGAAAGAGAGGCACAAAAGAGGCATGCAGCCATGCCTGAAACCAGTTTATCCCAACCTT